CACAGGCTGCTACTGTTAGTCCGCTCACTCTGGCGGTCTGGACTGTTCGTTCTCTCGTAGATAATTGCCGGAGCAACTAGCCGAATCAAAGGATGGTGCTAGTCGCCCGGGAACTGACAAACTACAAAGTGTACATCGCTGCACTCAGTGAGACCTTTTTCTGAAAAAAAGCCAACTGGAGGAGGTGGGCGCAGATTACATATTCTGGAGCGGCCGCCCCAAGGCAAAGAGACGAGATGAGAGCCTCGTCCTTGCCATCCTGAACGACATCGTGGAACGACTGCCCTGTCTGCCGCGGAGCATCAATGAACGTTCCCCGATGAGCTGCTCTGACGTGGCAAGGATCAAATTTAACGAGGACCCACGCTCCCTCCTGGCGACTGTGTCGAAGGCGGATAAGTCGATTGTCCTTGGGGATGTCAGTGTTCGCGTCGGCATCGACCATGCTGACTGGAGAGGAGTACTGGGTCCCCATGGTCTCAGCGGCCTCCATGGCAATGGCTTGCTCCTCCTGCGAACTTGTGCTGGACATCGCCTTATCCTGACCAACGCCTGCTTCCGCCTCCCGGTGCGAATGAAGGCCACCTGGATGCACACTCGATCGCGACACTGGCATCCGCTAAACTATGTCCCCGTCCGGAGGCGAGACAAGCGGGCGTGCTGGTGACAAAGACAATCCTGAGTGCCGACAGGTGGACCGACCATCGTTTCGTCATCTTCAAGATGCGGATTCGCCTACAGCCTCGCAGGAGACCTCAGGGTAAACGATCCCCAAGTAAGCTGAGTATTGCTTTTTGTCTTTGCATGCTCACCATTTCCATTACAGCAAGGAGCTAGCTCAGCGACTAGCCAGCCTTAAAGTCGGCGCTGCCGCCACCAACGACGACGACGAGAACACCACCGTGGAGAACCGATGGGACCAAGTGAGGAACACGATTCAGTCAACCGCCCTGGCTGTCCTCGGCCGCGCACGTCGTCAACATCAAGATTGGTTCGACGATAACGAAGCTGCCATCAGCATCCTACTCACCGAGAAGTACCGCCTGCACAAAACCTATATCACGCGCCTACCTACGACAACAAAGCAGCCTTCTACCGTAGTCGTCGTCTTGTGCAACAGCGGCTGCGGGATATGCAGGACTTTTGGATTGATCACAAGGCCGAGGGGATCCAAGGTTACGTGGGTCACAATGAATGGAAGAACTTCTTCTCCGCGATAAAGGCTGTCTCCGGTCTCACAGCCAAAGGAACCGCTTCTCTTCTCAACGCCGATGGAACTACCCTCACCGAAAAGGCTCGAATTTCGAATCAATGTGCTGAAAACTTCAGAGACATCATCAACCGTCTCTCTACCATCTCCGATGCCGCCATCGCCCGTCTGACACAAGTGGGTGACCAACGCCGACCTCGACTGACCGCCCGCTCTCTCTCCGCGAAACCGTTAGGGTCGTGCAGGAACTCACCAGCGGGAAAACTCCAGAATCAGACGCGATCCCTATTGAGACTTACAAGTACGGCGGTCCCCGACTTATGGATCACCCGACAGCGCCCTTCCGGAGGACGTGGCGCCAAGAACATGTCCCTCAGGATTCTGAGGATGCCGCAATCGTCCATCTCTACGGACGGGAAGGGAACCGCCGAATTTGCGACAACCACAAAGGAATCTCATTGCTCAAAATCGCCGGAATGATCTTCGCTCGCGTTCTCTACAACCATCGACACGATTTTCGCCGCCCACCAACTGCAAGAGAAGTGTCAGGAGATGTGGATCCATCCCTACTTTTCCTCCGTGGATCTGGCGAAAGCCTTCGATACGGTAAATCGTTAAGTACCGTGGAAAATTATGCAGAAATTCGGCTGTCCCGACAGATTCACTCAGATGGTGCTTTAACTCCACGATCGCATGACGGCGCGAGTTACAGATAATAGAGCTGAATCAGAGGCATTTGCAGTAACCAACAGAGTGAGTCTGTGCTATGTCCTCACGCCTGCCCTCTTCCGTCTCACGTTCTCTGCCATGCTGATGGACTCCTACCTTGACAAGCGGCCCGCGGATCCGCGTCGCCTACAGGATGGACGGCCAACTCATCGGTTGTCGACGGATACGCTTCCAGTCGCGTGTACCCACAACTTCCGCCAACAATTGCGCTCTCAACGCTGCCACAGAGGGGGACACGCAAAGGGGCATGAAGCTCTTCGCCGCCGCCTACGACAAATCCAGCCTGATCATGAATACGGAGAAAAAGGTAGTCATGCACCAGCCCCCGCCCAGCACTGCCTACGGCGCACCCCAAATCGACGTGAACGGAGCCACACTGTAAGACGTGGACAACTTCATCTAGCTGGGCAGCACCCTTTCTCGCAGCATAAAAATTGACGACGAAGTGGACCGTCTGACTTCTAAGGCTAGCTAGGCATTCGACAAAACGGAAAATCGCTTCGGACATGCCCAAATCCACCAACTCCTGAAGTTTTTTCGGAGGATGTACTTTACGTTCGACGGAACAATCTATGAGCATGCGAAGGACACGCCAAGGGGCTCACTGACTTCGGGACTCATCGCCGAGGCGGTCATACAAGGGCTGGAGTCGCTGGTTTTGCGACACCACAGACCGAAACTCTGGGTTCGGTATGTGGATGATACCTTAGTCGTCATCGAACGGGATCAGATGCTGACATTCAAAGGGCATCTCAACGCCGTCTTCCCGGACATACAATTTACGATGGAGGAGGAAGAAAACAACCAGCTGGCCTTCCTGGATGTCCTCGTCTGCCGCAAGGATTGTGGTGGTTTGAAAACCAAAGTGTTCAGAAGGGCGACAAATACGACTTAAATACTGGACTTTGACAGCAATCACCCGATCAGTCACAAACAAATTTGCGTAAGGACGCTATACCGGCGCGTTGAAACGCGTTGCAGTGAAATGTAAGACGAGGTTGCTGAATTACAATATCTTCGACGGGTACTGAGGGTCAATGGCTACCCGCTCAACTTTGTCAACAATTGCATAGGAAAACGACACCAGAGACCAAATCTAACCGGCCCCTAAATTTGGGTGGGTTCTTCCGTACGTGAAGAAGGTCTCGGAAGCTGTCAGTCGTCTTCTCACTGCACTTGGAGTTGAGGTCACACACGGGCCGAAAGCAACCGTTAGGCGCCAAGTCATGTGGCCGTAAGACCCACTGCCACGGCAAGAAATGTCAGAAGTCTTTTACCGCATCTGATGCAGTTGCGGACAAAGCAACTACGTCGCAGAAACTGGGAGATTAATCCGGACGCGAATTGTCGAGCACACAGCAGCCGTGAAGCGGAGAGACGCTAGCTCTCAGGCCGTGACTCATTCGACGGGACCCGGCCATATTTTGAAGCTTCAAGAGGCCAGAACCGTCGCAAGGGGTGACAACCGCGTGAGCCGCGAGCTGCTCGAGTCATGGTTCTCAGGCCCGCAATCCATCAACAAGTCCAATGACCTCCCGGTACCATATTCTGTGCTGAGATTTTCCGTGGGTAGGGGAATCAGTCACGTAGGGAGGGTGCGGGCGAGCAAATATCCCAGTGATAATGAGCCAATTTGCCTAGTAATCGTCACACCAACGTCCAATACGGATGACGAAATCGCGGCCATTAACGACTCGGACGCTGACTGACAAGCCATCATCGCATCACTTACGACCCCAGCGGTGATTGCGACAACTGCTAGTTACAGTACGCATATAGTACCCCGGCAGTCGCTTGCTATATATACTGCATTCCCTGCGCCACCATTACCCCTATCTGCGATTTTCTCCGATGATGGATTCGAGTGAGAATCCGAAAGGTCAGGCCAACAAATTTCTTGATCGCATCTACGTCTTCTGAACTGTTTCCTGGGACTTGTCTGTTCGCTTCTATCAGTAAGCGTACGGTCGCCTGCATAACACTGCCAGGGATCGCTACGTTCTCCATCTGAGTACCAAATTCAAGATGTACAAATCGATCATCCTGACGACGCTGCTGTATGGAGCGGAGACCTGGACGATGTACAAGAAGCAGGCGCGGAGGCTAAGCCTCTTCCACCTCAGCTATATTGGCGAATAATAAAGTCGAGGTGGCAGGATCGGATCCCGGACGCGGGCGTACTAAAGCGGATGGGAATCTTCAGTGTCTACGCCGCACTGAGATAATTGCTACTGCACTGAAGCGGGCACTTTGTGCGGATGATGAACGGCTACCAAACGACTATAATGGAGATGTTGCCACGTGATCCCGGTCGACAAGGAGTTCAGATCCGGCGTTACAAGGAAATTTTACAGACTTCTCCTAAGCGCTTACAGATCAACTCGGCCTACTGGGAAGAACTCACACGGGACCGGCTGGCCTGGAGGAGGAGAGTGAAGACAGGGGCAGTGACCTACGAAGACAATCGAACAACCGCCGCCAAAGCCAACTCCAGTCTCGCAAATCTCAACTGCGCCCACCTCGTAACGCCAATGCTCGACTGCCTTCGACCTGCCCACAGTGTCAACAGATGTTCCGGGCATGAGTCGGCCTTATTGGACGTCTTCGCATCAACTACAATACCCGGACGACAACAGCTGATGTCTCCCTGTCCATCCCTGCCTCGTTCCCTACGTCGAAAATCAACCCCCATCGCGCTCCTGATCTCCCATTGGCATCTTCCACCGCCTCAATATCTGCTTCGGTGATTACTACCCCCAACTGCGCACACAACCCTGACGCACCGTCAAACACTAACCTTTTCACTGCCAACGCAATTAATGAGGACACGGTCCATGCCTGTCCAAATTGCGATTGCACATTCACATCACACATCGGCCACTTGCGAATTTGTCGTACGGGGACTGGCGAACCATTGGCTGAAGCACCAACCTATAGTCACCGCAACCCCTCAATTGCCCTCGCACATTCCGCCACCACATGGGCCTATTAGGTCACATGCGCATTCATGAAAACCTGTGGTAGACAACCACCGTCTACACCACACCATCACGTCTTCCCCCACCAGCGCCTGCACCACACAACAGCATCACCCATCGCAAGCACTCGATCGTTACCTCCCACACAAGGGGGAAGTGTGCCTCTTGACTCCTTCTTAATGAGGCTCCTCTGCTGATCTGAGTCTAAAATTATTACGGTACGCCAACTCTCGTGGCTTGGAAGGCTGGCGAATGATGCCTCAACTCAGTCCATACAGTCTGCTCAGTTGTGTATTTTTTGGGTGGCGGAGTGGTAGGTTGAGAGTCAGACTGCAACGGCTCCTTCTTAACTTTACCTCTGGCGTTCACGCATGTGAGGAGCGTGTGTGCGTGGTTTATGGGTAGTGCCTCTCAACCTACGATCGACGGGTTACCTAGCCTTTGAGGGTTGACAGCTCCGGTAAAATTCAAGGCTGCGTGCTACCCTTCTGGGCCTGAGAATTATAAGCGTCTGAAATGCCATGATCAGCGAACCATGGCCCTTGCGTCCTGGTGTGCGCTGGCAGTCCTCTGGCATCTGGCACCCTATCGATATATGTCCTTCTGTTCCCTCTGGGTATACAGGTCGTGTGCATGGTTGCCCAATCACCTTCCCCTTCCTGATCCGTTGTGGTGCTCTTGTTGGTCAAGATTCTGGTCAGGTGTTTGTTGTGGACCGAGGGGGTGTGGAGTGGGCGTCAAGGGGCGGGTTCAGCCGCGATATCCACCTACGTCCTCACCGCCTCAGATCTTCTTAACTGTCTTGGCACCCGGTCCAGGAGGGGAGGAGAGAGGGCGGTAGATGCTGCGCAATTCCACCCTCACTCCAAAGTAATTCACGCGCAAGCCACCGTGCTTGCTTCAACTAGCTGTGGAGTACATGGTGAGCATCATCGGACACGACGGTCGAACTGTCACTGCACGTTACTGGCTGACGAGATATCTTGTTTCTTCATCGGAAGTCTTGTTGAATCACTATGTTTACTTTCGTTCATGGCCGTTATGGCGTCTCACATTTTTGTGCAATCCGAGCTCGTGCATGGTAGATGTTAAGCGACAACTTCGCGCATAGCAGCCACAACGTCACACCTCATGTCGGTCAGCCGGATCTTTGCGTGGTAGCTGTGCTACTGATGGGATCTGGCGTTGAGCTCCTCACGGCAGGCAAAAAATAAACACGTAGCTAACCTACCATAACGCCCTAACGGTCGTGACGCGGACGTGGCCAGCTTACGGGGCTTCTCGGCCGAATGGTTCCGTTTATGGCCCTTATCAGTCTGTCTTTATTATGGGTTTGGCTGGAGACTGTTCTCAGCATTAGGCGAACGTCGACGGTTGTTGAGTTTCCCTCTGGTCTTGCTAACTTTTGTTCGTTTAATTTCGGATTTTGTTGCAGTACTGGTTGTCATTGTTATTGCTGTTGCTGCTGTTGCTGCTGCTGCTGCTGCTGCTGCTGCTGCTGCTGCTGCTGCTGCTGCTGCTGCTGCTGCTGCTGC